CACCTAAAATTCTACAATCTTCACTTCCTCCGATTCTACAATTTTTCTGTGTTCACGTTCAATTATAGTTTTGCCTGCACCTAAGTAGCATCAACGTTCTCCAACACGGCACGAAATCGGATATAATTACTGCACGTCGACTGATAAGTTAACATCAGTTCGCTGAAGCTAGCGCTTTCTCTTTCTACACGAAAAGAAGAAGAAGAAGAAGAAAAGGAATAACGATGTTCAACAGGCAAGTTTTGTGCAAGGAATTACAACGTGGAAATTCGTCCGTTAACCGGTGAGCTAAGTTCTGCTTAACCAAGCCTCGTAAATCCGGTTTGCGTGAATCGCTTTAAAACTTGTGCAAAGCTTGTATAACATCCACGTAGAGAAGTTCTTTCACGCGAATACTAGGAAGCTAAAGTATTTTCCTCTCGCGGTTTGTACATTTCTTTTACATAATACTATTGTTTGTTAATCGGCCGGTGTATCGAACGAACGAACCGTATTCCCGAGTAATGAACAATGTCCTCTTATCGTGCGATCTTCGATCGTTGAGAAACTCGATGTTAAAGGTTGACAAACCGAGCGTAATGTCCTTAGACTTGGAGAGAAATAATTAATGAAATTATTATAGTATGAAATAATCGTGTGCAGTGAACGATATAGGTGTTTATTTTGGTATTTTTAATAGTGATACTCTTCAATGAAAATTCTTCTACAGAAAGTATTGTATATTGAAAGAATGTTTGAGAAGATATGAATTTTGAATTGGAAAGGTAGAAAGGAAATTTTTATTTGTAATTTTTAATAGATGCGTAATTGTTTGTGGAGAGTGAGAGTAATTATATCTCATATTCTTCAAATTATCAAATTCTCATATTTTTCAAATTCTCATATTCTTCAAAATCTCAAATTCTTCAAATTCTCATATTCTTTAAATTCTCAAACTCTTCAAATTCTCATATTCTTTAAATTATCAAATTCTCATATTCTTCAAATTCTCAAACTCTTCAAATTCTCATATTCTTCAAATTATCAAATTCTCATATTCTTCAAATTCTCAAATTCTCAATCTCTTCAAATTCTCAAATTCTTCAAATCTCAAATTCTTCAAATTCTCAAATTCTTCCAATTCTCAATCTCTTCAAATCCTCATATTCTTCAAATTCTCAAATTCTTCCAATTCTCAATCTCTTAAAATTCTCATATTCTTCAAATTATCAAATTCTCATATTTTTCAAATTCTCATATTCTTCAAAATCTCATATTCTTCAAAATCTCATATTCTTCAAAATCTCATATTCTTCAAATTCTCATATTCTTCAAATTCTTAAACTCTTCGAAATCTCATATTCTTCAAATTCTCAAATTCTCAAACTCTTCAAATTCTCAAATTCTTCAAATCTTAAATTCTCAAATTCTCAAATTCTCATATTCTTCAAATTCTCAAATTCTCATATTCTTCAAATTCTCATATTCTTCAAATTCTCATATTCTTCAAATCCCAAATTCTTCAAATTCTCAAATTCTCAATCTCTTCAAATTCTCAAATTCTTCAAATCTTAAATTCTCAAATTCTTAAATTCTCAAACTCTTCAAATTCTCATATTCTTCAAATTCTCAAACTCTTCAAATTCTCATATTCTTCAAATTCTCATATTCTTCAAATTCTCAAATTCTTCAAATTTCTCCAGAATTTCTCCAGTCTCCGAATTTATTCCAATTTTCTCTGCACAGATTGCACGAAGTTAGTTAAACCAAGCATGTCGCGTTGATAAATTACCAAAATCATAGCACGCACGTGGATCACGTGCAAAAATTTCTCGCGAAATACGGACAGAATACGAGAAATCGATAGGAAGCAACGAAAAAAACCTGAAAATTCGGAGCAGACTGTAAGTCTGGTCGGAAATAAAACTACGAAAATATACTATGCATATATATACGTTCATCTCCCATGATCTTTTGGAGAAGTCACATGTGGTGCATCTGTTGGAAACAAAGCACGAAAGACTGAAAAAATCCTGCACAAGGTATAGTAATTTGGTACAACTTTAATTAAACCCGCTAAATTAAATACTGTTTATTCTATTTTATAGAGAGAAAATTGAAAATAGTTGCAATTATATTAAATTCTTTCATTTTATTTATGATTAGTATTTCGAAATACAGGAATTTTTGTTAAATATCAGTTCCTCATAAATATTATCAAAACTTTCCCTTATTCCTCTAGAAAAATTTCAAAAAATTTTCCTTATTACGTTCTTTATTTCTGTAATTATTTTACAGCACACATTTTTAAAAAGTATCAAATGACTAAATAGATAAGCTTTTAATTCCTTTTTAATTACATTGCTTCTAACAAGAAATTACGAGTAATTGCACAGAGACAAAGTAACGTATTTATGTCGATAGTGATATGTAATTAGAAAATAGATCTATGAAGATAATAGACAATGGATAATCAGCATTTGATCTACCCAGATTAAAGGAATACGAGGACTTATATAAATTACATGAAAAAGAATGGAAAAAAGAAATATTCACAATTAATTCTTTAGATTCGATTCATTTCATTGAACAATCTAAAGAAACATTAATATGTAACACGTTTATTATACATCGAACACGATAAGCTGGCTTCTGAACAATCAACTGCTTCACAATAATTAATTAAGTACACTTGAACGATAAACTAATTGCCCTTTCATTTAGCCTTCTTCCTAATTTCTTTTCACTCCTGTTACTAATTCAAAACTACCAACAGTATTGTCAATTACTACACACTACTTGCTAATTGTATATTACGTCCAATTATAAATTCCGTAAATTTATCAATTGTCGAGGGGTTGTATTAAATAAACTCGTGTGGAGTAAGCTAGGTAAATAATTATATTTTAAAAGATGCTTGGACAAGACGTAGACAAGACGGGGCGCACATTTAGGACTGCTTACGGAGCGTGGTGACAGTGTGCACTCCCATACCAGGGGTGTTCGCAGTGTTAGGGGCTTGGGGTTGATCTTTCGATCGTTCAAGCTTTGCCGGTTTATGCACGTGTGTGCCGACTAATGTTCTAGGCTTCGAAGGACCAGTTTCTTCATTGAAACACTAAGTTTTTATTTGTGGTCTATTTTATACAACTAATTCTAGATACAAAGTCTATTGCGAAGTGAGAGGTGTTTCACTTGCGAGTTGCTAACTGTTTCTCCCGGAGTCTCTCCGGTTTCCCTCGAAGAAGACTCCTCTTTTCCTAAAAACACCCTGATTGGTGATTTTTCCTTTTCTAAATCACCAATCAGTTTACTCCGGTGCATCGCAACCTCCCTCCATTTCGCCCTTAGCGCGTTATCTTAGGGTGGGGTAGACAACGACCGGTGGACGGATGCGTGGGAATCCTGTGGAATCTCCGCTTTTCTAGGCTTTGTTAAAGTCACTGGTCCTAGGGACTAAGTGTCGCAGGCAACGCAATAAACACTTGTGGTGTTTTGAGGAAGCGATATTTGCCTGCGACGGCGACCACTTGACTCGCTGCCATAAATCCGGCTACAGGATACGCCTTAACACGCAGGCATCCCCAAAACAATATTTTTCGGATGGGTCATGAAACTTACCGACACTCCAGGATGTCGATTTTTCATGCAGCACCCATAAACCGTTTCCTTCAACATCAATGAAAATGAAGAATCCCTAATTCTCTTCTGATTTTTCAACCTGATTGCACCAAAGTGTGCAAACGATGTCGACGATACAGTTGGTTCTCAGCTTTTTCACTCCTGTTCAATTCCGAGAATTGAAAACTACCAGATTTCGATCTTAACCGTTCGAGTCCCAAACAGCGCGATCGCGCTGTTTAGATTTTGCGTCGAAACGACCCGGTACATTTGAACGCTATGGACAACTGACGGTGCGCTCACTGTCTGTCGAAATAGCGCGCTCAACTTTTCTGACGCATGTACATCGCATCGCTGTCTTTCTTTGTCGACACAAAATAGGAAAAGCGCTATCGCGCCGCTTAGCTCTTTTCGCAATCAATTAACCCTTTGACTGCTATAGGCGCATGTATGCGTCTAGCAAAATTCATCGAAATCGGTGGACGGAGAAAGAAGCGACAGGCATCGAAAGATGTAAGAATCTGCAGATTTATTACAGTTCTAGGCCGAAAGTCGTGAAACAGTGCGATTTTCACAATCTTTAACCGTTTGTAGCTCATTCGATTTCCATGAAATTTTCAGCATGTGCATAATTGACATAGATCTACAAAACGTATTTTTTAGATTTTCATTTCGAGCTCAGATAAAAGAGTTATAAAAACGACCTTCGCTATTTTCTTCGCGATTCCGACTAATTGCAGTTTTTCCTAAATTTTTTCTACACGTCATCCAGTAAACTAATCTTTCTAACTTCTCAAAAAAAACTCAATTCGTTTGGCCCAATTTTGAAAATGTTATTCCGTTTTATAAGGTGTACGAATACCTTTGTCCTCCACTGTACTTCCCAGTAGGGCTTTAGATTAATTTTTGTTATACCTAACTGACTGATAAATCTAACAATATGTCCAACACTCGCAGAAACCACATACGTCGCTGCTCAGCAACGAGAAAAAACAAAATCTTGTTTATTTCGTCGGTTATTCTCTGTATCTTAAACTCGTTTCATCTGTAGCCAGGTCCATACTGCGCGAAAAAGTTTTCAGTCCCCAGCGATCAGAATCCGCGGGGCCGCATGCCGCTCACGCGAAGCGCTTCAACTTAGAACAGCTCGCAGTCAAAGGGTTGCGATCCGCGGGCCGCATGCCGCTCACGCGAAGCGCTTCAACTTAGAACAGCTCGCAGTCAAAGGGTTGCGGAAAGCGTTATCGCGCTGTTAGAAAAACACGAATTAATCGATAGTTTTGGCTATCTGTAATCGGCCAATTCTTCAAATTAGATATCACATTATCGAACTTCCTGCATCTTATCTTCACACCTCGTATAGTACGTATAAGATAACTTATCTCATTAATCGTGGGACAGTGTAATTGACATAAACAAGTAGTTCTGTCCTGAATACGGAAGAGAGTGCAGTGAAACGTAGGACAATAACCGAAGGTACGTTCAGTAGACGCATGTACCTCGATATTAACTGACTTTTGCCTCGGAGCAATTACGCTCGAGAGTCTTTCGAACAAATCGGCGCTTTCGCCGTTTCGTCAAGTAGTCCTTGTTGTAGATCAGGCGTGTCCAACCTGCGGCCCGCGGGCCGCAATGTGGCCCTGAACAGCACAATATCGTAAACTTTGAACATTATCGTGTGACTTTTAGCGATATTTTTCACGACTCAATTGCATTATAATAAAAAATATTCAAAAATAAAGGAGGTTTTGTTACTTATGTACGATTAACTGTATTATACATTTCGTATGGCCCAGGCAAATCGAAAGGATGGACACCCATGTTGTAGATCACTCGTTACAATATATTCTTCGTACACTCCCCTTCTCTTGTGTAATGTCGTTATGTATATTTATACATAATATCGTAATTAATTTCGAACCTCAATGAGACGATTCTCTTTGTACAAATATAAATCATTCAACGTGATCTAAATATAGAACGCTATTTTATATTTTCTTTAGGTTAATATGTGTACAATTGCTCCTAAAAATATTCGGATACTAAGGAAATAATTATTGAATAGCGTACAGGTAACAAATAATCGCAATATTTCAAATATTGTACGATATTAATATTTAAATAATTTTGAAAATGTACGTTTCAATTATTAAATATTATGAATATGAATAATACGAACATTATACTCGAAATCAGGGGTCGGCAAACTTTTTTTCTGGATGGCCAGATACTAAACATTTTTTGGCTTTGTGGGCCAACAGAGAAAATTGAGATTATTACTTATGCACAGTCTGTTCCACAAAACTTGTGTAATGTCGTTATGTATATTTATACATAATATCGTAATTAATTTCGAACCTCAATGAGACGATTCTCTTTGTACAAATATAAATCATTCAACGTGATCTAAATATAGAACGCTATTTTATATTTTCTTTAGGTTAATATGTGTACAATTGCTCCTAAAAATATTCGGATACTAAGGAAATAATTATTGAATAGCGTACAGGTAACAAATAATCGCAATATTTCAAATATTGTACGATATTAATATTTAAATAATTTTGAAAATGTACGTTTCAATTATTAAATATTATGAATATGAATAATACGAACATTATACTCGAAATCAGGGGTCGGCAAACTTTTTTTCTGGATGGCCAGATACTAAACATTTTTTGGCTTTGTGGACCAACAGAGAAAATTGAGATTATTACTTATGCACAGTCTGTTCCACAAAAGCGTGGACGCGATATTTTCGAAACTTGAGGTCAAACGAGGGAGAGATTGTGCTAGCATAAAAATATGAGGTTCCCTCTGATACGCATTAGCTTTAAATCTCTCAGTATCATTTTTGTTACTGAGAAATACGGACCTTTTCGAGATGAGCGCCGCGTACGCCAAACGTTTCGAGGCAGTCTCCTTGTGTTATCACCCAAAAGGACGAAAACTGAGTGTTAAAAATGCAGAAAAATGTATGCATTAATCTCGTGAATTCGTCAATAACTAGATACAACGGTATAAAATAAGTAGATACAACGATATAAAGGAACTGAATGTGTCGATGACCTCCCTGATCGAGATTCAAAGCGCGGTACCACGAAAAGGGAAGATAAAGTGATCTTCCGGCTATTTTCAAGGAATCCAACATTTTGCTTGCGTAAAGGGCAAGCTTTTTTGGTGAAAAGGGCATAAATATAGGGATTTTGACATTAAAAGGTCGCTTGACAGAAAATAATGTTTGATGGAGCAGTACATTATCGAAACCGTTGCTTTCAAGGAAGCACGACGAAAGTCTGCTGGCGTGGGCACACGAAAAAGTTGATCGCGATCGGAGTCGTGTATTCAGCGATGAAGCATCTTTTTCGGCTTCAAGTATCAGATGTGCCTGGTCTGTTTATGAAAATCCAATTGTCCAAAGACGCGTGAAACGTCCATTCGAGAAACATGGAGGGTCTCTACCACTCTCATGTACCAAGAATCTGGTCGAAAGTATACCTAGACGTTGTCAAGCAATAATCGCTAATGGTGGAGATTGGACACACTGTTAATTAAGCGCGTATTAGTTTATTAGACGTAGTTTCGATGTATATAAAATTTTTTACAGAAAGAATCAATTTCCACAGAGATATCGCGTCCACGCTCTTGTGGAACAGACTGTACACATGCAGGTAGTTAACTACAAATGAACATTTTTTCACAAATCCTTTATTCGTAATGCACATTTATTAATGAGAAATATGGAATTCTTTCGTTTTGGATAATATTTCATTTAACTGTACGTAACTCGCGGGCCATAAAGAAACTGATGGCGGGCCGCAGTTTGACGACTCCTGCTCTAAATATTCATTCTTGCTAAGCGTGCAAATGTTTGTGTAACACAGTAACTGACTACAATCTCCATTAATTTGTATTACAATGTTACATACGAAAATGCGTTAAGCTATAACAATACGTAATCTCAGAGCACAATAAATGGCGTTTCGCAACAAAAAATCAACAGTCCGTAGTTAGAGCGATTCGGCAGACTATTTAGGCTAATGAAAAGTGTGTAGAAAAGTTGAGCAGGTGAATTCTTATAAAATCAGGATTCTAGAAAACAAACGATTAAGATTGTTCTTAAAATTATCACTAGTGTTATGTACAACTATTATTAGGTGATTCAGTGTTTCAATATCAGCAACCTTTCACTCAGTCTTTTCTTTCAAACCGTTATCTATCGCTTTATCTGCAATTTCTTTCTGTCACCATTATCAACCAATTAAGCTAAGTAGAAATGTAGAATCTTAACAACTGGACATTCATGGTTAATTTTTAAACCTGAAATGAAACTGTCTGTGATTAATTTTGCATTTCCAGCCGTGAAACTTTTACAACGGAGCCAACATTGATTTACCGAATAGAATCCTGATCACTGGACATTCTTGGTTCATTTCTAAGTATAAAATAAAAGTATTGCAATTAATCGTCTGAGATTAATAAATTTGCATTTCCAATCGTCAGATTTTTACAATGGAATCAACACTGATTCACTGAACAGAATCTTAATAACTGAAAAATCTGCATTTCCAATCGTCAAGTTTTCACAGCGAAAAATCATCTTCGTTTAACCCTTCTCTTTGTAACAACCAGTCAAAATTGTAGCACAGATTTCGGTCGAGGTGCGACAAAAACAGTTATATTAGTAACGAAAATTAATTTTCATTTATTAAACTGAGCATTATCAAATGTAATTAATGTACATTAACTTTTCCTACCTAATACAGTACTGTAAACAGTAAACAGCTGACGCTTAGATGAATAAGGAAAAGAATCATAATTCAAGAGGTTTAAGGCTTTCCCTTTTATTTTCTCCAAAGAACATAATTAACATTACCCGAATTTCACCGCGGAAAACGCATTATGCACGCCATTCACCGGTCAAAACGTCTGTTGGACAATGTTTCCTTGATAGTCCTCGAGTAACAAGAAATTCTCAGGTCGTTAGAAGTCCACTTTCCAGCGGAATCAAGCATCCTGCGCTCTCTTCCTTCCACCTAACCGCCAGTGATTCAACTTTTAACGTAAATCACGGGGAATTTTGCTTACGTCGACTGGAAAAAGCTACGATTACGAACGTGGCATATCGCGGATCTTCCAGTTCGTGATCTGAATCCTTGAAACTGAATTTCGGGCAATAAATCCTTGATTAATTACGAAATTGCGTAAACAGCGACACAGAAACATTTCACGTAATGAAACAAATTACAGAAGATATTCAAGCGAAATTAAACGAAAAATCATTTTTCTCAACTTCAAATTTCTGAAATTTTATATTTTTTTTATATTACAGTACAATTTTTTGATTTTTCCGCTTCGGGCTGCAAGATTTCTAGAAGGCTTCTAACATAATATTCTAAGATTATTCGGGTTTTGAGAAATTTCAGGTCATCGAGATCATCGGAACATCGACGTAACATTACAATAACAATTTCGACGCCTTATCTTTTTTCCCGTGAATCGTCAAAATTATTATTGGACTTCTCATTATCAGCATTAGAAACTCTGAAACTCTTATGCGGTATTATGAAACTGTATCTATATCTTTTGGTGCGTAATTTGATAAAAACTTTCTTAAATGTGTCATACCTCGAGCATCATGAAGCAATAGACATAATTTTTGTAATTCCTACTTTAGTCGCCACTTTAGCTTGGTATTGTAAAAAATTATCCATTAATTCACCTTTTTAAAGCACATAAATATTTACAAAAAGAGTAACATTTTTAAGGAACAAGTAACGTAGGAGATAATTTTTTACAGTTGATACAGAGATTGTTACTATAGCATATAGCAAGTTTTGTAACCTTTCAAAACATTCCTTGGATTCTACAAATTTTCTTGTTTTTAAAAACGTAAATAATTTTCGGTTAATTTTCATTCGTGTTACACTAAATTATTCTGCTTTAAAATAGAAATAAACAATTTGTCTATTAAGTTGGTAATAATTCGTACTTTCATTTAGTTTAATAATAGCAGCCAGATATAATCTGACTATCGATGCTTGACGATCAAATTATCAGGGAACAATGGTAAATTAGGGGAGTATTCTATGTAAATGTACAGATCTAATTTTAATCTGATTTGTGCTTATTATAGCAATTATTTAAACCCGCGTAATTTACAATCTGTACGGATAAAAGTAATTTAGATTTTCATACATTTAAATAATTAATTTAAAGATGAATAGTGAATCCCTTTTCTAAATAAGAATTTGCTATTTTAAAAATTTGTCACCAAATTTATAG